AAATCAGAAAGAAGCTGAACTGATTCCTGCAGGAATCAAAAGGCCTGTCACCAAAAACTCTGAACATAAATTGTTCCAGAAATTATTGCGACAAACGATAGTTACTTTTTACATATAATACATATACAATACTAATATTATATTAATGCAAATATTCACTCTCACAAGCAAAACAACCCTTTAATTTCTAGAGAACATTTCTCACTGGACCTGAAAACATTTTAAACATACAAACAACCAAAACAGCAATAATTAAAATTCTCAGAAACCAAATAATCAAACACAAATTTCTGTTTCATTCGGATTTTATGTGATGCACAGAAAGCCGTGAATAAAAGTTTAGTGGAAGGAAAACCACCTTCCCTTCTGCTTGAGTGTTGCTGCTGAAGAACAGCCTCCCCACAGCACGCTGCTGCCACCACTGTGCCTCACCCACCTGACAGCTGTCTGTATACGGTGTGGCCCATTTCCTCATGGACGCCACGCTCTGCTCCAGCTGGCCCGCCTCCGGCTGCAGCGGCGCCGGCGTCGACTCGGGTCTGGTGTACAGAGACGGCAACTGGAGCAACCAGCAAAGACAGATGTTTAGATTAATGGTTTTCTTGGTAACTAATGTCTGATTTTAACAACTAGTTGCTTAGTGTTTCTATAACAAATCTGAGTTGAAAAAAAACTCAACCCAAACCCAGTGGCTGATGACGTCACCTCGTCGATGCTCAGAGCGGCCTGGGAGTTCTTTCTTGGCCTCGCTGGCAGCCAGAACCGAGCCGCTCATCAGGGCCGTTAGCCCGGGAGCCGCGGCAAACAGCGACGCCTGGCGGAGAAACAGCGGCACGACAGCAACACGCAGAGATGAGTCCGAGCTTCCCGCAGCGTTTTTATTAAAAAAAAAACCCCACATATAATCATTCAAACACAAAACAAAGCGACGAGAATAAGAGAAGTTAAAATGTCAAACACTCGGTGTTTTATATTGGCCTGTTTTTGGACCGAAGAGTTAGCAGCTAGCAACATGCTAAAGACCGACGCAGACAAAACCTGCGCATATCGTCATTAAACTCTCAAATAACAATACAGAACTGCGAAATACAGATTACTGATACGGATTACAGCTGGAAAAGATGTAGGACAACGTTCAGGATAGTTACCAGTCTGAGAGAAGACATTCTCTTTCAGATGACATTCGCTTTACTACGGCAAGCCGCAGGAGTAATCTGCGCATGCGCGTTGATGCAACATGGACTCGAGAGATTTTCTTATTTCTGTTAAATTGTTTTACTGTGAAGAGTAAAAATGCTTAATGAATTCTGATTAAAAATCTACTGAAACTCATCTGGAATCTAAAATGATTCAGTAAATTAACACTAATGGAATATTCATCATTTTATTCCTTTGAAACATTTTAACTTTGATTGATTTACGTTTATTTTCTAAATTTATTCTGTTAAAATAATTTATTAATAAAAGTAATTCTTGATGTAATATCAAGGTTTGTTCAAAGATGCTGCAGATGCTGATGGCTTTACAGCCATCTGCTGTAATATATTGAATTACAATTATTCAATATATCTTATAAAAATGTTACTATAGTATGCTCTATATTTCTTAAATCATATTTTATTTTGAATGGTAAACATTTATTTAAAAAAGAAAAAATAAGAATTACATTTAAAAATATTTATTACAAAATATTTAATTTAAATAAATAAATGTTTATTTAGATAAAATATTGGTATTAAATATATAATAAATTGTTTTTTTTATTAAATATCTTTAATACAATTTAAAATATTAATTTTAATTAAAATAAATTTATTGCAATTAAATTTAGTGTATATATCTAAGTTGTATTTAATGAATGGATCATCTTTTTCTAGTCGCCACAGAGAGCAAAAATAATTCATTTGTAATTTTTAAAATAAAAATAGAAATTAACTGGATGGATTAAAAGTGTCTATAGATATTAAAATATGATGCTATAAGTTTCTTGATTATGTGCAGATTTTTCCACAAAACATTTAATGAATGAAAGTTAATGTTTGGAAATAAATGATAAACAAATGACAGAAAAACCAAATAAAAACTCAGCAGCAGCTGAAGGTTGACCAGTATGAACATTTATTTCTGGAAAGGTTACAAATCGTTTCCAAAGAGTTTCTACTCAGAGTAAGATATGTTATTCAGATTTTTCTCTCTTTTCCCCGTACAGTCGTTGAAGCAATGAAAGTTTATTTTTTAGCGTCCTCTGATCTGTTTTCCTACGGACAGCCGGGAAATGGCGGACTAAAGGATGCTGCGTGTTCCTCAGCTGGGGACGGCTGAACTTTATTGGTTACAAGTTTCTTCTTCAAACAGCAACGTTGAAGCGGAGCGGCGATTAACGGCGACCCAGAGGAAACGTAAAGGGATGACGCAATAATAAATGTTCCAGAATGACCATTTGAAATGAATGTTTTCCTTCAAGTTCTTGATAGATTTATAATTTACATCAAGACAGACTTCAGGAAGTAAATCTGTTCTGACTTTACTGATTCATCAAGAACAGAAAAATAAATAAATCGGAGAAACTCACATGCTGCTGCAGTGTGGAGATGAAAAACAACAGAAACACTGAAGAATCGGCTGTGAATGAAACTCTGATAATAAAAACATTCCTAATACTGTTACTGCATAGCTCAGTGAAAAGCACTACCTCATAAATTAAATAAATACGCAGCAGAAAGACGTGACGGCATCATTATTTGCTCTAGCCCTTTTCACAGTTAGCTCAAAATAAAACAGGCTGGTCGTCAGCTGAGCTACGTGGCCTGGAGGATGAAATGTGCAGCTTTAATCTGAAACGGCGGCGGGATTAGATCTGCCAGAGAACGGACGTGCAGATTAAATTATCTGTCTGAAATGAAAACAGTCTATTTTTGTTGAAACGAAGGCTGGTAATCATTTAGCCGAGGTAAATTACCAAAGGACCTCAAACAAGAACATCTTAGAATAACAGCAGAAATCTGGCAAAGAAAATCCTCCAACTGAACTACAAATATTTTTTCTTCTTCGTCTATTTTGGCACAAAAACCAACATATTTGACCAGCTGTGTCCAAAATGCAAAGAAAAAAACAAGAATGGAAGATCAGCTAAATTAAGGAGGTCACTAATATCAAGCTAGCTTGTTTTAGCTAGTTAATGCTAAAGCTAAGTGCTTTGACTGTAATCCAAGATTGGTTTCCTGTAATAACAGTTTCAATTTTATGATAATAAATAATCCTACACCTAAAGTGGAGTAACAACAGTTTATTATTTTTTAGTGTTTATACGATTAAACTGTTAAACATTTTTATTTATTAACTTGTAATTTATCAACATGTTTCAGGGAAAAAAACTAATTGGATAAATTAAGGTTCAGGCCAAATCAAGTGAAAGCTAGCAGCTAACATAGCTAGTTTAAGCTAATGCTAATTTTAGCATAATATGCTAGCATTATCTACAACTATAAATGAGATTCAATTAAGTAAACAGAAGTATTGTTTTGCTATTTCACATAATTACATAAGAAAGCAGAAAAACGTATTAATAATGAAGTTTGAATGTTTCTGTTCTACCAAAGGTTTATTTCATTCGAGTTACTTTTCCTGCGATAAAATGCTGATTTAACTACACTAATTTTACCCATGTTTTTGTAAAATAATGAACACACAACATTCTATTTTGAGAAAAAACTGCGATGGAATAAAATTAATGAAGCCACAGTTAATAAAGTTAACTGTGGCTAATCTAAACTAGAGCTGTGTGTCTATTTGGTGTAAATATGTTATATTTATTTTTAACTCATCCTACATAATTACATATTAATAAATAAGTTAGTCAGTGTTTGTATACCAAATGAAGTGAATACTAACTGTTAGCTAATTTTAGCATAATTGCTAGCATTATCTAGCTAATTACACCTAGGTTAGCTATAGTTAGCATAAACTAAAGGTACGTTTATGTGCTCATGTTTGGTCTATAACTTGTACACTGAATGAAAATATTATTGTCATTCTTTCGCACAGTTACATAACAAAGCAGTTAAATCAGTTCATGATGGAAACATTTTTAAAATGTTTATAAACTAACTTTACTAATTTCTTTTTTTGCAATTTGTGGTTCAATCGCATACTATTTTTATATTTATTGTATATATACACAATTTAAAGCTAGCTGCTAAGATAGCAGAAGTGACGTCATTAGCAGAAGCTAACTTTAGCATTTTGGATCCCTTTGTTTCAAATAACTGAAGATATTGAGGTTAAACTTACTTGGAGTTATTCTTTCAGTTAGTTTATTTCGTTACAGAAGAAGTCAAGTAAAATTGTTTGGGTTTTATTTGTCAAATAAAACTAAATGTAGCTATCAAGTCAGCAGGAGCTAGTGTAACCAAAGCTAATTTTACCACCAATTTTGTTATCTAGAACTTACATTTAATATAATATTATAAACTCTGGTGCCAGTTTGAATATTTCAATCACATTTTGGTTTTCAGTATTTAATTTAGCATATTTTAATAAAGCAAATGCAAAACAAATAAAGCAACTAAGACCAGCTGATGTTTTTGGCAGACAGCAGATTATAAAACTTTTAACGTAAACGTTTTGTTAATATGGAAACACTTTAACACACAAATAAATTCAGGACAAATGTCTGGTTTCAAAAAGAAAAACTGTTTTCACAAGATTTTAAAAACTCAGGTTTGTATCTAAATGCTTCCCTGTTAAATAAGAAAATGTTGTAAATGTAAAACTTTCCAATAAAACAGAAGTTTATTGTCATAACAATGTTTCTCATTTTAATATTTTTTTATCTCTTTACGACAATGTTTCAATTTTCTTGTTAAAATGAGAAATAAGATTTAAAACTTGAAATTAGAAACTTGTTTTAAGATGTTTTATCTCTTTTTAACATGTTTTGTTCTCTTAACATTTTCTTTATGTTTTAAACAAGGTTTCTTGTTTTAATGAATTTTGCATCTATTTATAAAAGTTTTCTTGATTTACATTCTAGGAAGTTTCTTATTTTATCTTGTTTTAACCAGAATCTCTGGTTCTAATGACATTTTGCTCCTGAATTTATTTCCAAGCTCTTTCCTTTTAAGGCTTCTTTTGACACATTATGGATATTTAAGTAGCAGCAGTCATTCGTGGCCATCGAACTAACATTATGAGGATGTGAGATGATAATCTCCACTAGTCACAGATTCCATCCCCAGATTAAAACGTTTTTATTCCCATCAACAATCAGGTGGGAAATAAACGTCCAAATGTTCTTGAATGAGGTCCAGATTTGTTGAAATGCCCCCAAAAAGCCCAGATCTCGGGTCAAACCGGGTCAGTTTCTCTCCTCCAGAGCAGGAAACTATTTACACTCACATTGAGAACCGATAAAGTGCAGGAATGTAAACAAAACCAAACGGGCCGCAGCGCAAATCCTAAATCTGATGCCGCGGTTTCCTCAGTGCGGCGGCGGGGAGCAGAGACGCGGCGAGGGATGAACGTGTTTGTGGCTCGGTGGGAAACTGGGACTGAAAACTGGAACGCACTGGAAGCCAAACTGGGACCAGACGTCCGAAACCACCGAGTTCAGCGACGCTACGGAGTATCGTGTTGAATATCTGATTCGTTTTGCTGGGTTTAAAGTATTTCAGCTAAGCTTGAAAGGTGTTCAGGAGGAACCAGAACCAGAACCAGGACCAGAACCAGGACCAGGACCAGGACCAGGACCAGGACCAGAACCAGAACCAGAACCAGGACCAGAACCAGAACCAGAACCAGGACCAGAACCAGAACCAGAACCAGAACCAGAACCAGGCTCTGATGCTTCCAGTGCGTCTCTCCAGTCCAAACGTAAATGAATGGAACCTTTTTGTTTCCTGACATCACTTTTTCCTTTAATTTTCTGAGAAAGGGTAACTGTGAAAACGCCCGAGCCGCCCGGCGCCTCACCTGTCGGTAAGCGCTGGCCGCCGGGTCGACCCGCCCGGAGACGCCTGGTTCCCGCGCCAGGCGGCCAGTCCGTCGGTACAAAACGTGAAGCGGACCTCAGCTGCAGCGCCGGACGTGCTCCAGCACGTACTCTGGGAAGTGCAGGCTGCACACCTGCAGGCCGTCCAGTTTGCAAGGCATCCTGGGATTCGTCCTCCTTCCACTTGTTCTCGTCCGGGTCAAAGGTGAGGATGGAGTCACTGTAGTGGCCGTTGTAGCACAGGCCGCCCAGCACCATGATCTGCCGGTCCAGCACCGCCACGCCGTGGCCGCTGCGGCCGATGGGCATGGAGGCCAGGATGGTCCACTCGTCCGTTTCCGGGTCGTACACCTCGGTGGACGGGCAGCCCTGCGACTCGAAGGAGGCCCGCAGGATCACGCACACGCCGCCGAACACGTACAGCTTCCCGTTGTGGGAGATCATCTTGTGGAAGCAGCGAGCGTAGTTCATTTTGGACTTGTTCTCCCAGCAGCTGGCGTGGGTTCCGGGCAGCAGCGGGCCGCGGGCCGAGCGCGTCCTGTGGGAGTCCGACCCGCCCGACCCGCCGCCGCCGCCGCCGGCCTCCCGGCCCGGGTCGAACACACACACCTGCTTGGAGGTGGAGGAGGACGTGATGCCGCCGGTGATGTAGAGCTTCCCGTTCAGGACGGTTCCCTCGTGGCCGTACTTGTTGACGGGATACGGATCCACGAACTCCCAGCGGTCCTCCGTGATGTCATAGCGCTCCGTGGAGTAGAAGGTCTCGTCTCGGGTTCGGCCCGCCACGGCGTAGATGAACTTCCCGATGACTCCCACCGCGAACTCTGACCTACAAAACCAGCAAAATGAACAACCAATAATTTACCAGAACTAAAGTAGCGAGTGGTTCTGATAGCTGCTAATTATTCTGATGATCAATCGGCTAATCTATTGATTACTTAATCATTCTGACAACATTTTACAGGCTTCGTTACTGCTAGTGTGTTCTTCCAGAAAATTATACCTTTTCAAGAGTCTTTATGCTCAAGTTAATCGATTAATCAATTAATCCGTTACTAAATTAGCTGATGGAATAATTAAGCAGTTAATTAATTATTCCAGTTAATTAACTGCTATTAATCCGATTAATGTTACGGAACTAATTAAATTTACAAAATAAAGTTCCTCAGATTGGATGGAGAACCTCTGAGCATCATCAAGATAAGGCCGAATTGTTTGCTTTCAGAGCAAAGGTCAAAGTTCATAGGAAGGAGCTCTGACCTGGGAACAGACATGTCCGCCATGCGCAGCCACGAGTTCTGCCGCGGGTCGTAGCGATAAACCTTGGAGGAGGCGTGAAACTCGCCGTCGGGGCCCAGCTCCTCGCCGCCCAGCAGGAAGGCGAAGTTGTTGACGATGGCCAGGCAGTCGGGTCGGAGCGGCACCTGAGGCCCTCCAGCTCCCACCACACCTGAGACACAGCGCCGTTAGAAACACACCGCTGGGCCGACAAAGCCTTTAAATACACGAACCCAACACTGAACAAACTGATGAAAAATGAAGAAATTAAATCATTCTGTGAGCAAAAGCTGTTAAACATTCTGAATTTCTGGAAAATAAGATTTTTATAGCAGAGATGTTAAAAGATCGTCACTTTTAGGTTCTAACTTAATAAAACTGTATTAGTTATAATGAATGCACAATAATAAAGCATGTTTATGCATCACTAAGCCCAGTTCATTGTAAAATACTACAGATAGAATGAAGGATAGAAGAATAAAAAATTATCGAACAAACCATGGAGCAAATGGTCCAACAACAAACCGAACGAACAAAACGAACATCGAATAATCGACCAGCAGATACTGAAAGTCGTTGAGCCAAACAGACGGCGCTGCGTCACCTTTGGCCGCTGCAGCAGCAGGATCTTGCTGTTCACCATGCTGTGGCCGATCATTCCCCTGAATACGGCGGTCTGCGGCCGGACGGAGCGAATGCGGTTGGAGCGCGTCTCCAACAGCGGCTGCTGGTTGACATCGTGGAAATATCCGAGCGCCTGATCCACTTCCTGTCTCAGCTGCCTGGAGTACCGGTAGAACTCCGACGTTTTCACCTGAGGAGACAGAAACCTCAGCATGGACACCTCCGAGGAGCCCTGGAGCCGGCGTGGCGCGGCGCGGCACAACGCGGCTTACCTTCTCAAAGATGTCCGCCGGCGTCATGAGGCAGAAGCGGATGGACTGCACAATGGTGTCGGTGTGCCTCCAGCGCCGCCGGTCGTGTCTCAGCCACGCCTGGACGGCTTCGTACAGCTCGATCTCCGGGTAGCGGCTCAGAGCGTCGCTGTTCAGGTAGGCCTGCGCCAAAACGCAACAGGAGAAAAAACATCAGAGAAAGAAAACGATTCCAGACACAAACCCCAACAGCACCGAGCTCCAGAACCCGACAGCAAACCCAGACAGACAAAAAGAAACAGCTTGAATACAAAACACTGTTCAAGATTAAAACAATTCATGGGATTTAAGTTATTATTTTGGCATAATAATAAAATTCCTCATCTATTTTCTGGCGCCCCCTGGCGGCGACAACTTTAAAATGCACCACAAAACACAATCCTAGGAATCGTGAATTGATTTAAAATGCTCAAAAATGTATTGAAATATCAACACTTTAAAATTTTTTGGGTATTTTTAAATATATTTTTAAGCCAGGCAGCCAAGGTAACGAAAAGTCACTTAAATCACTGAATTTAAAGCGTCATAATCCTGTTTTTGATTAAATCTGATACAGAAGGGAACCTTATAATTGTTTGTTTGCGTTTTATTTCCTCTCATGTCTCATAAACAGAACGAATAGAAAAATTAATTTCTGATTCAAATTGTCAACCTAAAACTCTGCCTCTTCACTCCATGATGCCAACAGATTCATTAAGCCTTGCAGAAAGTTTCATCAGCTAAAAACTGTTTTTATGTTACAATCAAATCAATGATTGAGACGCGGATGGCATGAACATCTCAGATCTTCTGTCAGACCTGGAGTCTCTCCAGACTGAGGTAGGACAGGAAGTCGGCTCGGCTCATCAGAGGGACGAAGTTGTCGAGGAGGAAGTTGTCGAGTTGCTCCTGGACGCCCTCCACGCCGACGCTGAAGTCCTCCAGGAGGCGCATGACCTCGGCGCAGTTCTCCAGGCAGATCTTAGCCAGCAGGAAGGAGCAGCAGAACTCCACCGCCTCCGTCAGCTGGACGTACATGGCCGCCTGCAGCGACACAAACACGTTTTTTTAAGCGGCGAGTTAAAGTTTCAGGTTCTGGGGAGTCGCCGCAGAGGCGCGGATACCTGCAGGATCTCCTGCACGGTGGGCATGCTGAGCTCCAGGGAGCCGTAGTACATGAAGCGCAGGATGTGGCCGAAGCCGGCGGCCGTCAGCCCCTTCATGTGGATCTTATCCTGGTCCCGCTCCCCGCATGTCGGCCGTGAACATAACCCGGAAGTAGTCGCTCTGCGTGGCCAGCAGCGCCTTGTGGGCCTGTGGGCGGAGTCAGCACACCTCAGTTACCGTAGCAACACCAGCTGGCAGAAACTGATTATTAATAATGATTGATTAATAATCAGTTTCTTTGGCCAGGAACCAACTATACTGACAATTAACTGCTCTGATTATCAATCTATTATTTACAATCATTTGATTGTTCTGGAAATTAATCCACTAGTCTGACGTGCAGATGACAGATTAATCAATGCTTCTGATGATTGATTATTCTGACAACATATTTACAGACAGGCTGGCTTTTTCTTAAACATAAAAGAAAACTGTACAAACTTTTGAACAGTTTCGTCTGAATTTCTGCTCTGACTGTTGAGCAAACTGGATGTTTTAGTCTAGATACTCTAGTTAAATTTAATTGATTACCCAAATATTTTATGATTATTTAAATTGTTGATTAATCACTATTCCAGGTGTCAAAATTAACATTTAATTTCAAAAACCAATTTTCAAAATCGGTTTTAAGAATAAAATTCACTTTTGTTTTCAGTGATGCCTGAATCTGCACCTGTCTCAGTTTGTTTATGGTAATTTATGCTAATTGCTGCTTAATTATCAACTTTTACCTGGAAGTGATGCTCCTCTATCAGCAGCGTGACGTCCAGCAGCAGACGCTCCTCATACAGAGCACGGAAACCCGACGACACGCTCCCATCATGCACCTGGGACAGGTACACCTCCACATCTCCCCCCGACATAACACACCTGAGGCAGGAGGAGAGCGGAGGAACACAAGAGTCAGAAAACAAACAGAGTCAGGCCAGCTGGTGTGAGCGCTGCATCAGGCAGAGGTGGGAAAACGCAGTGAAAGGAAGAACTTCAGCAAACACACGGAAACACACACTCACCTCTGATTGGCCACGGGCATGTCAGAGGGGGCTGTCCGAGCCAATCAGAGGACAGTGCCCCTTGTGTCCAGTAGATGCTAACAAACTCCCTTTAGTGAGCGCCAATCACCTGAACGACAGAGCCAGAACAGGTTAAAGGTCACCGGGTCACAGCGCGGCTGAACACGTCAAGTTTAACGTCAAGAAATAGAAAGAAGGAGAAACTGGACCAGTTTGTTTCATGCATAAATGTTTGTTGTTGCATTAATAACTGAAATAAAAACAGATTCCTGAGCTGCTGACCTTTATTGACCAGTCAGTCAATAAAGGTTTAATTGTGTTTATGTCGGCCATGTTGGTCAGGTCAGGACCTCAAGCTGCCGGCAGCCTGTGGGAGAGGAGCAACCTGCCTGTTACAGACTTAGCAACGGAGCTCAGCAGGTGGCGCTGTGGAGTCATCAGGAAACCCAGAGAGTCTTAGAAACTGAACTATGCCTGCTTTTCCTCAAACTTTTAAGTTTTTATTTACTTTTTGGCAGAACAAACATGTTGAAATAAGCCAAACCTTCTACATTCATTTTTCTACTTACGCAAAGGAATATCAGTTTAATGTGGTTTCCATGAGAACAGAAATCACAAAAATTACTTAAAGTGCTTTAAAAAATTATTACTTTGGAAACAAGTTTTTGTTCACATCCCAAAACAAAGAAAATGACAGAAAATCAGATAGGAGTGGAAGAGAGGATGAGCTGATTGGGGTTCAGAGCAGGAGTGTGTGTGTGTGTGTGTGTGTGTGTGTGTGTGTGTGTGTGTGTGTGTGTGTGTGTGTGTGTGTGTGTGTGTGTGTGTGTGTGTGTGGAGGCGGGTCGTACCTTTTGGAGCCCAGCCGAACGATCGCAGGCTGTGACGGCTGAGCGCTAACAGGCCGCTCGCATTTCCTGTGTTTATGTTTCCCTGGTTCTGACAGAAATGGACAGAAACAGGAAGTCAGGAAGCGTTCAAACAACCAGTATCTGTGTTGATCGTTATTGTTTATTTCTAATACAAGAAATGTTTAACTGTGCGTCCGTCTTGAGCGGGAATAAGGACAAAGCAATTGTTGCCACTAAATCTTTGTTCATATTCCTTATAAAAGTATTCTTGGTTCAGAGTTTCTGTTTCTGAAACTGACACACTGCTGCTAAAAAGAAAATCTGTTTTCCTCGTTCTGTAGAAAACGTTCTTGTCTGAGACTCATGTCTTTAACAATGTTTTCTAAATGGAGCTTCCTTTGTACTCTTCAGTTTTTGATAGAAAGTACTCCTGACTCAATCATGTTGTGATTCCACTGTGTTTTTGTCTTTTTAGTGGAGATGCTGCTGACATTTATTATCTTTGTCTATTCTGGGCTGGTTTTCTTTCCTTTAGAAACTCCTGGCTCATTGATTCTGAAACCAGGCTAACAGCTGACCCTGGATGCTTGGGGCCAGGCTAACACCTGACCCTGGATGCTTGGGGCCAGTCTAACAGCTGACCCTGGTAGCTTGGGCCAGGCTAACACCTGACCCTGGATGCTTGGGGTCAGGCTAACACCTGACCCTGGATGCTTGGGGCCAGGCTAACAGCTGACCCTGGATGCTTGGGGCCAGGCTAACACCTGACCCTGGATGCTTGGGGCCAGGCTAACACCTGACCCTGGATGCTTGGGGCCAGGCTAACACCTGACCCTGGATGCATGGGGCCAGGCTAACACCTGACCCTGGATGCTTGGGGCCAGGCTAACACCTGACCCTGGAAGCTTGGGGCCAGGCTAACACCTGACCCTGGAAGCTTGGGGCCAGGCTAACAGCTGACCCTGGATGCTTGGGGCCAGGCTAACACCTGACCCTGGATGCTTGGGGCCAGGCTAACACCTGACCCTGGATGCTTGGGGCCAGGCTAACACCTGACCCTGGATGCTTGGGGCCAGGCTAACAGCTGACCCTGGATGCTTGGGGTCAGGCTAACACCTGACCCTGGATGCTTGGGGCCAGGCTAACACCTGACCCTGGATGCTTGGGGCCAGGCTAACAGCTGACCCTGGATGCTTGGGGCCAGGCTAACACCTGACCCTGGATGCTTGGGGCCAGGCTAACACTGACCCTGGATGCTTGGGGTTAGCCTCCAGGATGGCGGACCGCAGCCACATCCAGCCCGGCTCAGAGTTCCAGACTCCCGGCTGTTTTCATTCCTCCAGCGAGCTGCAGCTCTGCTTCATGCCGAGACCATGGCTCCAAAACAAAGGCTCCACACAGCGGGTCACCTCGACTCTCACAGCCGCCGACAGAAGCTCGTTTCTGGCATTTAGTCCTGGAGGAAGACGGTTTAAAGCGCCGGTCTGAGGCTCCGTCCTGAACGCGGGGGACGGGCTTTAGCTTAGCGGCTAAGATCCAGCCGTCTCACCTCGGCGGTGCGAATCCCCACAACCCCTCTTCGACCAGGCAGCTCTGGCTTCGTCGGACATGAAGTTGGGGGTTCAGCTCCGGGATCAGGAGAGAGGCGGGCAGCGGTGGACTGCCGGATCCCGACGGTAATCCATCTGCCGGACGAAAGGACCCCCCGACACGGCTCTGAATTAGACGGCTCCAGAACCACGGCAGCCCACAGGATTTACGGACTCCATCTTCTGCACCGGCGTCATTTCCCTTCTGGGCGGAACTGAAGGGCGGCGAGCGGAGCGCCGAAGATCGTGTGTGTAAGAAGATGCATCACTACAAATGGAGAGGAAAAACTATTCCCGACCCACTCAATAAGTTAGAACAGCATTAAAACGTGTATTAATTTCAGTAACTGAGACACTTTATGTTGATTAGTTTTATACAGACTGATGTTTTCAAGAGTTGGTTTCTGTTATTTGGGATATTTTTGCTTACAGTCAATGAAAAGATGACATTTAAGATCAGAATATTACATCAATAACAAACAAAATATTTAATTTAAGACGGAAATGTTGACTTAATGAAGAATATATTTAATATCTTCATAAAGGTTGTTATTTTAACCTGACAAAGGAATATAATTGGAACAATATAAATATGATGGATGGATGGATGGATGGATGGATGGATGGATGGATGGCTGAAACTACATTTTAATAATCAGTTTTGAAAACAAATAGATGGATGAAACTACATTTTAATAATCAGTTTTAAAATAAATAATTATCTCATAAGCAGACTCCAACTTTCTTCCAGTTGTTGTGTCAGACCCTGTAGTATATGTACTTGAATGTACTTTTTAACTATTGTACATTTGCTGAGAAAATAGAATCAATAAAAAGAACTACAAAATGGCCTTTTGAGAACTACAAATCGTTCTCAAATGACGTCACTTTCTACTGACGGACCCCAAACATGAGAAACATTATATTTATTCAAATAAACTTATATTTACAGAATGCAGGCTAGCGGATAAATGTTCCAGTTTCCTAAGAAGCGGGTGTTGATGAGGAAAAAGCGGTGGAAAGCCGAACCGAGCCGAGCCGAGCGGTGATAAATTGCATCAGCCGTTCAGGAAGGACCCCGTCGCTCCAACGCGGGGAGTTTCTCTTTAAAACAGCGACTTTTCCCCTATCGGTTTAGTTTAACCGGTTCGTATTTTTTTGAAAATTACCAGGAGCGAACGTGAATATATACACATGAATAAAAAATAAGTGATTACTTTGTTCACGGATCAGGCGGAGCCGCCGCCTCTTCCGTTCCCTTTTCATCCAAGATGGCGGGGGATGAGTCTGGTACAACGCTCGGTCAGCCTCACCTGGCCAGGCAGGACCTCGGCACGTTGGTGAGCCTCCTTTTAACCGCCTCCACGGTTTCACGGTCCCCGGCTGTTACTCCGGGACGGTTATTGGGCCGAAAGGAGGTCGGGGAAACGCGGGAATGGTTGTGCTGAACGGTGGCCGGAGCAACGCCGCTTCCACCCGGCACATGACGGCAGGCCCAGCGGGGAAACGGAGCTCCCCTCCGCCGCTCCTCGGCCAACCGAAATATTTACGTTAAGAGTCTCCGAACCTCCGTTTCTAGTGTCGGTTATGTTTGACATGTCTGGTTTCCACTGAGGATCATCTGCGTCCTCAAACCAGTCCTAGTCCCAGTCGGATCAAAGCATACGCGATATATGCGTCTGGTTCCCTGGTGGGTGAAAATAACAGGGAGAAAAGGAGGAAGTTTAAACCATCTCTTCCATCTCCACTCTCTCTCCAGCTTTCTCCTAGTACAGCCAGACGGAGATCTAAAGAGGAGCAGCAAAAGCAAAGGAGGTGGATTAGCGGAGCTAACCACTGATGGTATCCTCCTGGACATGTCACTGTATAGTACGATCTCTGCTGTCTAGATATTTCCCGGAAACTCGTTGGTTTAAAATGTTGGTGTGTTTTAATAGTTTGGTCTTTAGATCAAACAGTCCTGACTTCTTCCCAGAGATGTGAAGGTAGTTTGGTTTGTTTTGCGTCACTGTGCTGCTCCAGGATTAGAAACAGGAATGCTGCTGCTCCCTCCAATCCCTCATTGTGTCCTCTGTCTGTCTCTCTGCAGGACGTGTCCACCTTAACTCCTCTGTCTCCAGAGATCATCAGCAGACAGGCCACCATTAACATCGGTACTGAACTCATTCTGTTTCCCCGTCGTTATGCTCGGTGATAAATGCATTAAAATCTGTATTTTTCTCTGGTTCCTGAAGGCACCATCGGCCATGTGGCCCATGGAAAGTCCACAGTAGTGAAGGCCATCTCCGCGTTCACACAGTCAGGTTCAAGACGAGCTGGAGAGGAACATCACCATTAAGCTCGGATATGCTAACGCTAAGGTTTTTAACTTTTAATTACTGTCATTCATTAATAAATCCAGGTGACGTCTTGAATCTCCATACAGTTTGCCATTGTCAGTGAGGCTCAGGAACCAGACTACCTGCCGAGTGTGACTGCTGTCTCTCTCTTTACGCTCCTTCTTTAACGCTACAGGTCTACAAGCTGGACGACCCCAGCTGCCCCAGGCCCGAGTGCTACAGGTCGTGTGGCAGCAGCACCCCTGATGAGTTTCCCACAGACATCCCCGGCACCAAGGGCAACTTCAAACTGGTCCGGTAAGGCTGTTCCCAGCTTTTAAAAATAGATTCATATTCAGATAGGACGCCACTTACTTCATCATCATTATCTGTTTGTTTTTGGAATCTAAAGTAATCGTTGGATTCAGAGTTGCTTAACTGAAATACAGTCCCAGAATTTATAGTTTCTACAATTTTTCATACCAGTATCACTCATTTCCATTCCTTAATAATGAAACGTCAAAACACTGATTAAATATTTATGTCCTGATGGATCAATAGTAGCATCAATAACTTAATCAATAATATTGAGATTAAAATAGAATATACTTTATTAATCCCCAAGGGGAAATTGCTTAAAGCAACTCCATCTTATGTGATAAATATAAAGTTTGTAAAATATATATCTACCAAGGGTAATAAATTCATCACACCTAAATTCATACTAATGTTCAGATTAATAATCTTTAACATCTTTAACATTTACTTTTCTTTTTTACACTTCGTCAGCTGGTTCTGGTTGTAGTTTAAACGGGTCAGCTGGTTCTGGTTCTCAGCTGGTTCTGGTTCTGACTGAAGTTCTTTCTCTGACAGACACGTATCGTTTGTGGACTGTCCCGGTCACGACATTCTCATGGCCACCATGCTGAACGGCGCCGCCGTTATGGACGCCGCCCTGCTGCTGATCGGTGAGTCTGGTTGTTGGCGGCTCGTTGGCGCCCCCAGCAGGGGTCCGTTGTAACCGGTTCTGGTTCTGTGTTCGTCCAGCGGGGAACGAGTCGTGTCCTCAGCCTCAGACGTCGGAGCATCTGGCTGCCATAGAGATCATGAAGCTGAAGCACATCCTCATCCTGCAGAACAAGATCGACCTGGTGAAGGAGAGCCAGGCCAAGGAGCAGTACGAACAGATCCTGGCCTTCGTGCAGGGTGGGTTGGTGTGGTTGGAAAGAAGTGAAATCTGACCAAACATCTCAGCTTTAAAGTCTCAGATTAAGCTTTCTTTTTCTGGCTTCCATTAGTTCACCTCCACATTTGTTTGACACATTACTAGAATGTCATGTTCTCTCATCTTTCCTATTTTGAGGCGTCACCAAGAGAAATGCGCTTTTGTCACATTAAATTTCTAGCTCAAGAAACAAGAACTGCTGAATCACTAACTAGTTAATGTTTCTCTAGCTAAAAACATGCTAATATTGTTAGCTGATATGATTGACTTCCTGCTGTTTCCCCTGCTAATGAATAGCCAGGCTTCGCCTGTTAACAATCATCTAATGTTTTCATGAAAAGATTTCCTGCAAATGTCTTGTTAAAGTGTCTGTAGCTAATATTCTTCCTGCTCGAGGTCCTTCTACTAACAGTTCTGCTGTTTCTGTTTAACGTTTATTTTGCTAACGTTCCTTCTGCTAATGGTTCTCTTGCTAACGTTTGTCCTGTTTCTCCTGCAGGAACCGTTGCTGAGGGCGCTCCCATCATTCCCATCTCTGCGCAGCTCAAGTACAACATTGAGGTTGTTTGTGAGTACATCGTGAAGAAGATTCCCGTTCCCGTCAGAGATTTCACCTCCGAGCCGCGGCTCATCGGTAAGAACGGACGTGGCGCTGCTTCTGTTTCCATCGGTGTGTTTCTAACGTAAACGGCTTCAGTCATCAGGTCGTTCGACGTGAACAAGCGAGCGACCTGAAGGGAGGCGTGGCCGGAGGCAGCATCCTGAAGGGCGTTCTGAAGGTCAGGGCCACAGGTTTAGCCGCCGGCTGTGATGTCACAGTGTGATCTGAACGTCGTCCGTCCGTCCGTCCTGCAGGTGGGCCAGGAGATCGAGGTCCGGCCCGGAATCGTCTCCAAGGACCAGGAGGGGAAGCTGATGTGCAAACCCATCTTCTCCAAGATCGTGTCTCTGTTTGCTGAACACAACGACCTGCAGTACGCCGCCCCAGGAGGCCTGATCGGTGAGAGAACCAGAACCAGAACCAGAACCAGACTCCTCCATGGAGGAACGGTTCAACAGGAATGATCTGAGGATCCATGGAGTCTGTCTGACTCCTGCAGACTGAATCAACACATCGATGTCGTTCAGTCCAGATGCTTGGAGCTTTTCTCTCTTCTTTCACCCTCACTTGTTTTTCCTTCCTTATTTCCTTCCTTCCTTCATGCTGTACTTCTGTCCTTCCTTTGCTCCTTGTGTCTTTCCATTCTCACTTCCTTCCTTTAAACCTTAATTCCTTCCTTTCTTCCTTTTTTCTTGTCCTACTTGCCTTTCCTGTTTTTGTCATTGTCTGTCCTTCCTAATGTCCTTCTTTCTGTCCTTAATTCTTTTGGGTTTGAATGATGACGGGTCGGTGTGCAGGTGTTGGGACGAAGATCGACCCGACGTTGTGCCGGGCCGACCGCATGGTGGGTCAGGTTCTGGGAGCCGTCGGCGCGCGCCGGAGATCTTCACAGAACTGGAGATCTCCTACTTCCTGCTGCGGCGGCTGCTGGGCGTCCGCACCGAGGGTGACAAGAAGGCCGCCAAGGTGAGCCGTGCATCATGGGAAACCCGTTCCCGCCCTTTCCGGTCTCTGACCCGATCCCTCCGGCCGGCAGGTCCAGAAGTTGTCCAA